GATTTAGCTCTTGCATAATGTATGTTTAATATTGATGAATTAAATGTTCATATACTGATCTTTTATAAGGAAACATTGAATGTTCATATTCATAATTAAGTTAACAGAAATTTAAGTTACCGGTGACTTCCTTGGATCCAATTTCTTTGTTGTTACGCTGTTTTGTTGAAGAATTAAGGTTGATAGACTCCCTAACCCTTCTTTTAAACTTCTATATCTGGACCCAGAATTTTTGTAAACATCTGAAATATTCATAAAATCAAAATAAAAAGGTTCCTACAAACAAAACAAAAGGTTCAGATATAATTATTTTTTTTCCATGCTTGTTGATTATTCAAACCGAGAACAAGATTATTTCGAATTTAAAAGTATAAGGATTTGACAGGTCAAGGTCAGTCATAAATAAATATACAATTTTAATTTTTATGGAGCTACTCAGTTAAAACTTTGACCTTTAAAAAAAAAAAATAATTAGTAATTCATTAAATTAAAGTAAAAGAAGATTGTTAAGAGAGAATCGTCATGCTGTCACACTCATCGGGTGTAGTATTCGTCAATTTCATAACAAATTGCAAGTAGACTATAGCACACTAATGTAAACAAACCTATATGCATACAACTTTGATGGGGAAAGGGTAAAATCTAACGGGCAATCATGAAAATACAGACACTCAGCTAGTATGGGTTTAACTTAACTTCATTGTAGGTTGTCAGGGTGGACTGCCAACTAGAATCTACATAATTAATTTCTTTTGAGTTTTCACTTACTTTTTTCTACGAAACAATCCGGCTCAACGTGTCTTGAACATATTGTCAAGGTCTTGTCATTTATCGGGTCTGATCTGGTATACTGTATGATACTTAATGATTCTCTCTCCACTCTATGTTGTTTTTGGGTAAACGATAGAATGATCAACCCCAATTTCTTTTATTGCTGGCGGAACATCCGAACAAAACACAATTCGCGCCAGGCATTTTGTTAGTCATATAATGAACATTTTGTATGGCATGCAAAAATGTATAAAGATAGGTTGCCAGGCAACCAAACATACGCCCACAGCAGCTAAATCGTCCGGGCAGTCAACAAGAGTTGTCGCATATTTTTACTTTTTTCGGTAATGAAACATTTATAATACACTCAAATCTGATTAAGAGCAACAACTCAGAAAACCATTAGAATTTGTTTGGTTTTTATAAAGTTCTGCCCCATGCTAACATTTTGTATACAAAACTTTTAATATCATGGATTTAGCTGTTCCAAGTCATAAAAATTCATTGAAAATCAATATACTTGTTCCTCTCAAGATCTTAAACTCTGTGTATCAATCTGAAGTCAATCGGATGATCACTTTAGCCTTTAGAGCGTCACAAGATTTTGCAAAGTGATCAAGGGCAATAACTTTGGCAGAAATTATCGGAAATCGTTGAAAATCAATAGGATTCTCCATCTCATGATCCTAAACAAGATCAATCGGATATTAACTTTGGCCTCTACAGCGTCCACAAGATTTTTTTAATCAAGGACCATAACTCTGGCAGTAATTATAGGAAATCGCTGTAAATCAATAGGCTTCATCATCGCATGACCTTAAACATTGTGTATAAATTTAAAGTCAATCGGATATTAACTTTGGCCTCTACAGCGTTCACAAGATTTTTTGAATCAAGGACCATAACTCTGGCAGTAATTGTAGGAAATCGCTGTAAATCAATAGGCTTCTTTGTCTCATGACCTTAAACACTGTGTATAAATTTAAAGTCAATCGGATATTAACTTTGGCCTCTAGAGCATCCACAAGATTTTTCAAAGTGATCAAGGGCCATAACTCTGGCAGTAATTATCGGAAATTGCTAAAAAATCAATAGGCTTCTTCGTCTCATGACCTTAAACACTGTTTGTGAATTTAAAGTCAATCGAATATTAATTTTAGCCTCTAGAGCGTCCACAGGAATTTTTGAAGTGATCAAGGGCCATAACTCTGGCAGTGATTACCGGAAATCGCTGAAAAACTATAGGCTTCTTCGTCTCATGACCTTCAATACTGTGTATAAATTTAAAGTCAATCGGATATTAACTTTGGCCTCTAGAGCGTCCACAAGATTTTTGAAGTGATCAAGGGCCATAACTCTGGCAGTAATTACCGGAAATCGCTGAAAAAATATAAGCTTCTTCGTCTAATGACCTTAAACAACCTGTATAAATTTAAAGTCAATCGGATATTAACTTTGGCCTCTAGAGCGTCCACAAGATTTTTCAAAGTGATCAAGGGCCATAACTCTGACAGTGATTACCGGAAATCGCTGAAAAACTATAGGCTTCTTCGTCTCATGACCTTCAATACTGTGTATAAATTGAAAGTCAATCGGATATTAACTTTGGCCTCTAGAGCGTCCACAAGATTTTTGAAGTGATCAAGGGCCATAACTCTGGCAGTAATTACCGAAAATCGCTGAAAAAATATAGGCTTCTTCGTCTTAAACAACCTGTATAAATTTAAAGTCAATCGGATATTAACTTTGGCCTCTAGAGCGTCCACAAGATTTTTCAAAGTGACCAAGGGCCATAACTCTGACAGTAATTATCGGAAATTGCTAAAAATCAATAGGCTTCTTCGTCTCATTACCTTAAACACTGTGTATGAATTTAAAGTCAATCGAATATTAACTTTGGCCTCTAGAGCGTCCACAAGATTTTTTCAAGTGATCAAGGGCCATAACTCTGACAGTAATTATCGGAAATTGCTAAAAATCAATAGGCTTCTTCGTCTCATGACCTTAAACACTGTGTAAGAATTTAAAGTCAATCGGATATTAACTTTGGCCTCTAGAGTTTCCACAAGATTTTTTGAAGTGATCAAGGGTCATAACTCTGGTAGTAATTATCGGAAATTGCTGAAAATCAATAGGCATCTTTGCCTCATGACCTTAAACACTGTGTATAAATTTAAGATTAATCGGATATTAACTTTGGCCTCTAGAGCGTCCACAAGATTTTTTTAAGTGATCAAGGGCCATAACTCTGGCAGTAATTATCGGAAATCGCTTCTTCGTCTCATGACCTTAAACACTGTGTATAAATTTAAAGTCAATCGGATATTAACTTTAGCCTCTAGAGCGTCCACAAGCAATTGTGGACGCCGGACGGACGGACGGACTGACGGGGGCGACGACAATATATGACCACATTTCAATGTTGGCGTATAAAAACAAATTCTTTTCAATTCTTTGGCTGTCATGTGAGCTTATTTATTATATAATTACAAAAAAAAAAATATTTCATTACATCATCAGCTGGATGATAAAAAAAAAGAATGGAATTGCTGGTTGTCATAATAGAAAGACAACCAGGCTTGAAATTTGCGACGGTTTGACTATTGCAGCTAGAGACACACCAGTCACGTCTCCACAACCAGGGCTCGACACTGCCGTCGGCCTCGGCGTCCATGGCCTCCGAATTTTAGAATTTGGCCGCAGATTCATGGCCGACTTTTAACTATCCACGGCCATGTATGGTCGCCGATTAGTGCTGGGTATCGCGAGTTATTTTTACTATCGGTAATCGCCATTGAAATGTCAATTGATAGTATCAACACAACCTTATTATTGTTCTTTATTTTTAAATAATGTAGCCTTAGTTCTGAATGACGAAATACCGTTGATATGCCTATGTAGGTGCAGAAACCAAAATAAAATGAGCATGAGTCGATTCAAAACATTGCGTATGTGAGCGCAATAAATACCAACATGGCGGACAATTCGTTGTCGATTCGCGTGCAAAAACTGAAGAAAATTTACTAGCCTAAAGAGCTTGATATCACGAATTCGTAAATTGTTTATTATTATTAAAATAATGTAGCCTTGATTCCGAAAGAAGAAATACAAACGTTTTTGTCATCCATCAGTGCTATGTCATTTATAATGAGCAGACGAATTCTGAAAGGGAAAAAACTCTGAAATATTTACACATCCGGGTATCTCCAATTTAGCGAATTCCATGATATGGCGATTATTGTTTCAAACTAAAGTAATGTTTAAATGAGGGCAAATTTATTTTAACATTTTTTTAAAAATGCTACATTGAGATTGAGACTTTGAAGTAAATATAAAGTGACCGATGTAGGGTATTGTATTGTTATATATACGAAGGATTAAGTCACAGAAAACATTGAGTCGACTCCTACGCACGCACAAAAAATAGACGAAGAGAACGATACTCGATAGTGCTTTTTGGCATATCTTAACGATTTATATCGATATTTCATCCAGCTCTACCGCTGATATAGTAATACTTTCAACTCTCAATATGGCTACATGCCGATTTTAAAAATATTTTTGAGTAGAATAAAATATCGTACTAAAAACAGTAGGCTATGATAGTACGATATGAATTTTACCCCCCCCCCCCTCTTAACTGTAAGGATGCATTATTTTTGTAAACGGAATAAAAATATTGAACGTGATGTGATAGTCAGGCCTGTAACAACATTTTGACTGAGAAAGATCTAGTGATCTACAATAAACAGATTCACATATGACATATTGAAACCTTCTGAATAAGCTGATAACATCATATTTCATGACTTAAAAATTGGCCTTGGATTTTCAATTTTTGGCCTTGGATCAAGGTTGCACTTTGGCCTATCGTAGGCCAAAGTTGGCCTTCGATCGAAAAAATGAATTTCGAGCCCTGTCCACAACCACCGACAAAAAATCTATGTTATAGACTTTCGCCTCAAAATTGCTTATCTCTAAGACCGGTAAGTAGATGTCATGTATAAAATCTAAAACTTCACGCAGTGTTAACTTTTATAGATGGAATATCGGTGATTTCACTATTTCTTTATGGTAACTTGTGATTTGATGACAACCAAATAATTATCACATCAACAACTGGTTTACTCAGAGACTCTTAATATTTACATTCAGGAGAAACTGTTTACAAAATACAAAACAAAATATTTGACACAACTAATAGTTATATAAAACCTTAATACATTTTTACATATTTTAACATTTTATTTTCAGGAAAATTGATCAGTATTGTTTAGATGAGGCGGTTTAGATCGCATTACAAACAAGAGATGACATTTATTAGGGTGCTATATGACGACGAACAGAAAAGGTTTCGCCATGATGTATACCGTCAGTTTTAGAGGCAAGGTCGACTTGGAAGAAATAATCAGACAAGTAATATCAAACTATATAGTCTGCAAAAGACCTACCCAAATTATCAAACAAAACATTCTTTTATAATAGTTAAAGATACATTATGGAAGATTAGTTAAAGAGCTGGCAGTTCTTACTGTAATAGTTAAAACTAGATGATATGGAATATGCTGAGAATTTCAGCTAAATTGCTTCACTACAAGCTGAGAAAACCTTATTATGAAAATGACTGTAGCCTCAATTGTCATTGTTACTGCTGTCATGATAATAAAGTCTTTATTATCCATTGTTGCGTTTAATCAACAGATAATGAACGGCAGATCAGATTCAAATCCAATGAAAATCGGACACCATAGATGACATCAAGAGTTGATTATAATAAATGTCTAATTAATACATGTAGTTTATATAACATTTCAGACCTAAAGAAAGACCTGCAATAGACACATTTACTTCTTGCATAATGCATGTTTAAATAAACATTGATGCTATTAAACATATTTCTGTTTTATATTGTGTATTTAATTTTGGTTAGAATATATTATATTCTGTAACATTCTTAAAATTTTTTGGTCTGTCTCTTCACAATATCTCGTTGGATCAGCTGGGTCTGGGTATGACTGCCCCAGATTAAAGGTACTGCTGACAATATTCCGATCTTTTTGAGTATTTTTTTTTATATCTGAAAAATAAATAGATTAAAGGAAATGGGCATATGTCATGCAGTGTTATATGTGGAAAATTGTTCGAACTGCGAAATTACAATTGTCAGGAGAATTGTATCATGCTGCTAATGGTATACACATCATCACCCACCCCCCTTTTATTGCTGACCTTAGAAAACCAGGATTGATAATGTAGAAAAACTTTCTTGGACCCCAAGGTTCGTGAGCCAGCTCCAAAATCAGTTTGAATGTACCGAGATGAGACACAATAATTTAACGTTTTCTCATATTTTATAAACACATTTGATCCATGGTTAAAATTGACCAATTAGTTTCTTACATGACTGTCATACGGGTCATTTATTAGATATTGTTGAATGTTATTACATAAGTAAGGGGAAAACTAACCTAATGTTTGTGTCAGCTCCTTTTAGTGGTTCTCGATTTGTATGCAAATTAAAATCAACTGCTACCAACAAACATTTTGCATGGTAAACCAGTGGACTGCAAAATAATGTCAAATAAATTATTATTGTTGATGTGAAACATCTTTCTTTCAATTTAAAAGTGTACTTTTTAAAGAAGGAATGTGAAAAAAGAGGGTTTAATGTCCACTCAACACAAACTAGGTCTAACTAGGACTTAAAATACATGGTTCAATTTTATTTCAATAATTCTCTTACGCATAGGTTTTTAGTGCAATCACACAACTGGACTCAATGACAGACATTCTAATTCAATGCAAGAGTAGGGCATGGTGCTGCTGCCCAGGCAAAATTTCCCTCATAGCACACAGTATGGCATATGCCTGACTTCATCAGTAGGATGTTAAACCCCCATTTCAGTCCTGATCCATAACCATTCGGCCACCCAGCCAAACTAGAAAATCATAAAAAATCATTGTAACTACTAGGCCTAGTTTGAACTACAATTGCAGGTCTGTATTGGTTGTAATTACCTGGAACTTACTGGCATGGAATGACTCAATATATTTCCTGTGTGCCTGTAAAATAAATAAGTCTTTGTATTTGATGTTTATTTTTCCTATGTTTACATCATGTACTGGTAGGCCTATAGTTCAGTACATATGCATAGAAATAAATGGGATGGCAACTCACACAGAAAAATAAATTGAAAATAATCTTGGCCCTTTTATTTTTTTTATATCGAACAGAGCCAACAAAAACTAACTAGTAACTGAATGAAACTATAGATGTAATGTTACTAAAAAAGAAAATATACTGAGCGCCATGGAAAACGCATCACTTTTTTTCCCAAATATTTTATACTAGGTGGTTTTGTATGTATAATATTATGCAATACTATGAACTATTGTTTCACACAATGCTCCCAAACGCAAAAAATATCGGCCCGTGTGCACAAAAATATATTGCACGAGATGCACATGAAAAACCCAATATACACGTGCAGCATTGTGTGTGAGCCCTTTAAAAGCATGTTTTCAACTTAATGTGCAGTACTTTAACTGTGAAATGTCCATCTGTCGTAATTTGTTGTTGGACGTGTGAAGGAATTGAGCTAGAGATGCCGAGACTTACTGAAAATCAATGGAATGAAGCCATGGGAATGTCCAGGTCTGACATGTCTACACGTGCTATTGTCAGACACTTCAATTGTCATCAGTCCACTATTGTAAGGTTGGTGGAACTTGTTCGATTAACTGGATCAACACGTGACCATCAACGTCCTGGTCCACAACGAGTTACAACCCAGGCTCAAGACCGCTACATCCGGGTCACTCGTCTGCTTGACAGATTCCGCCCAGCGACTCGAACAGGTGGAGCAGTCGTCAGAAGACAAGGATCAAAAAGTGCCAACACCATAAGACGTCGTCTAAGAGAAGTAGGACTCTGTGCACGACGACCTTATGTTGGAGCTATCCTCAGGGATCATCACCGTCAGCGGTGTTTGATATGGGCTCAAGGACACCAGACATGGAGAAGAGTAGACTGGCAAAGTGTGCTCTTCAGTGATGAGAGTCGCTTTCATCTTTATCACACTGATGGCCGTCAACGTGTGTGGAGACGTCTTGGGGAACGTCTTGCAGACTGCTGCGTCTTCGAAACGAATCGATGGGGTGGGGGAAGTGTAATGGTGTGGGGAGGCTTCACATTTCCTCACCGGACCACCCTACACATTTGCTGGGGTCGCGTTAATGCTGTAGCCTACCGTGATGATGGCCCGTGGAGGACACACGCGCTACTGACATCTGTGTCATACTTTTGGTTTTGACCCCTCTGACTTTGTACCCTTGATTACAGATTAAACATCCATAAGTGTACAAATGTGTTGTTATTGATGTGTTCCCATTTGAATATTGTTCACAATAAGAAGCAAAATAATAAAAATATGTTTACAGGATCATTTTGTTATACGAAAAACTAAGTGATGCGTTTTCCATGGCGCTCAGTATAAATAAATTGTTAAAAATGAAATCTGTGAGTACATACGTCTCTAATAAAAATTGATGATTCAAAAAGATAATACTACTAATTTACACTATTTACAAATGATTCCTCCAATAAAATATCATACCAGTTTAAAAGTTTTTATTAGTTCAGATTGGCAACGTCTTCGTGAAGTTGGCTTTGTTGAAATCATTCCAATTTCCATCTCGCTACTTCTCAGCATAAATACACACATTCGTCTTTTTCTATGCTGTGTAACCTCGCATGTACTATTTCTTCTTTTTTGTGCAATATCTGTGACTGTTCGTTCTCTTTGACGTTTTGGAGGGTTATCCATGATGAATTGAACAAGACACCAAACTCCCAACTTTCAGTTTGACCCGATTGAATCACATTTTAGGCTGATGTTCCGGTAAACTATAGCGATTGGCTGTGTAAAAATAAACATCCAATCAGTTTTCCTTTCTCAAATTATAGCTTACCGCCAACAGGGTGAAATGAAATGAAATGTGGTTTTATGGCATATCAGCTCCAACCGGGCTACATTGCGCCAAACATATGGTGAATATTACGAGACAGGCTAAACTATATCACAGAAAAATATTATATGCATAAATAAAAACAATATCACAGTCAATAAAATTAAAAATAAAATACAACTTTTATGCATATAAATATTAAATACAAATACTTTACCATTCGATTAAGTTAACAATCAGTATAGAATAGTCACAATTATCAAGTGGCCAACGAAAACGCCTAAATATTTTGAACTGAACTTTTCAGACAAGGTAAATATACTATTCCTCTATATTTTGGCATTTAAATGTCATACGTACACGGAATGTTATATCTTAGGCTCTATGAAATTCGTGAATCGCCCTTTAACTACATGTTTTTAAAACATTTTGGAATAGAAAACAAATGAAGAAATTTTTAATTCTATAATGGTTGTAAAGTATATGAAACTCTCATGCAAACAAAAGGGCCTCGCGTGCATGTTTCATTACTAAATTGATAAATTGGTGCTGCTATATTCAACAGATTAACAGGTTAATTAACATACGTTTTTTCACTGTTTCGCGAAAGGCTTCCGCATTTTTAATCAAATGTTGAAATTCCTGGAAAAAAGGCGCGTATTTGGGATAATAGATTTGTGTTTGTGCACGTTCGTTAATTTCTGTGCAATTTCTGGATTATATGACCATCAAAACACCTATCACAGAATGGTTTGTTGGATAAATTTTGAAGTAGTTAATTATAAAATGGATGTACTGATGATAAGGCGTAATTTCAAAAGCAGCCATGGTGAGTATAGGCTAGTTGTTTAAATTCTAGTATATTGGGCTGGGTGTATTGGTATATTAACTTCCGTCATGCAAAGTATTTGACCTGGCTATGTTTAGTTTTTAAAAACAAAGGTAAAACGGTTCTGTGTATATATATTACGGATCCACTAAAAATAAATCAAAACATATTTTAAGAGTAAATTATCAGTGTTATAATCTTGTGTATTCATAAGTAATTACTAAATGCCTGCCACTAGTGACAGCCGATGCACATTAATCCCAAAATTTATATATGCTTTGTTTTTGACAGGATAATTTTGAAACAGCTGAATGCTCTACCAGCACACTGCATGGCACATGCCTATCTTTATTTAATATTATTTTGATTGTGTCATTTCAGGTCATATATTTTTAATATCATCGAAGAAAAGGACAACACTAGAAGAACAAGCCAACAGTGAGGCTGATGTCCCCCGCCGAAATTGCAAAATAAATAGATGACACATATTAATTAATCGCACATTTATTTTTTTCACTAAGTTTCATCACTCTCTATCAGATAGAATCAAGATTATCTTGTCCCAAACCATCGACAAATGAAATCGATTAGCTCTGCTTAGCTTCAGCTCGAAATGTTAATTATTGAACTCAGTCAAGACATTCACCTAATGAACATCTACATATACATCAAGTTTAAACATTCACCTAATAGACACCTATGCCAAGTTTGAACATTCTACCTCAATTAGAAGGAGAGTTATTGTGTTCCAAAGTTTCTACCAATCAAATTGCTTATCACTCTGCTTACCCTCAGCAAAAAATGTTCATTATCGAACTTAGTTAAGGTATTCATATAATAAATCTATACACCAAGTTTCATCAATCTCACTTAATTAGAACTAAAGTTATCGTGTCCCAAAGCATCAACCAATCAAATTGCTTATCTCTGCTTACCCTAAGCGGAAAATGCTCATCTTCGAACTCCATCAAGGCATTGACCTAATCAACACATACACCAAGTTTGAACATTCTAGCTCAATTAGGAAGAGAGTTATCGTGCCCCAAAGTATCAACCAATCAAATTGCTTATCTCTGCTTACCCTAAGCGGAAAATGCTCATCTTCGAACTCCATCAAGGCATTGACCTAATAAACACATACACCAAGTTTGAACATTCTAGCTCAATTAAAAGTTATCGTGTCCCAAAGCATCAACCAATCAAATTGCTTATCTCTGCTTACCCTAAGCGGAAAATGCTCATCTTCGAACTCCATCAAGGCATTGACCTAATCAACACATACACCAAGTTTGAACATTCTAGCCCAATTAGGAAGAGAGTTATCGTGTCCCAAAGCATCAACCAATCAAATTGCTTATCTCTGCTTACCCTAAGCGGAAAATGCTCATCTTCGAACTCCATCAAGGCATTGACCTAATAAACACATACACCAAGTTTGAACATTCTAGCTCAATTAGGAAGAGAGTTATTGTGTCCCAAAAAGTGTGACGGACAGACAGACGGACGGACGGACGGACAGACAGACGGACAGACAGACAGACAGACGGACGAACCCATTTTAATAGTCCCCTGCTTTCTTCGAAAGGCGGGGGACAAAAAGAAAATTTAGAAGACGGAATACAGAAATTTGAGGGATAATTAATAATATAGTAATATTGTAATTGTTTGGAGTTTTTTTTTTCAGAATGCATGTTATTAAAGACTTTGAAATAGTAATGAGATTTTAGTAAAATTTCAGTGAGAGATTCAGTCAAAATATTATTGAGATTTCACTGTACTCCTCCCTGCTCTTCTCTGCCTAACTGTCAGACAACACATTTTTATATACCTTCGAACACATGGTCATACACACAATTGTTTCTTTTATCTCGTCACGGCATGCTTACTGACCAGTGCATATTCCTTTGAAGTAAAGCGGAACGTGTGTACAGATCATATGTAGCTTGTAACGGACATATTGAATTAATTACATGTTTAATTACAACACAGACAATCGTGACTTACACTACGCTGCTGGAGTTTGGGACTAGAATCGCCGAACACGGCGGAAAAACTCCCTGTTCCGCGACGGAATCTTGGAGAATCGCTAGCGAAATGCCAGTTAGCCAAATCACCGCAAAACACCCTATTTCAGTGTTTCGCAGTGGAACATGGTGAATCGCTTGAGTGCCGATATTATCCCGATTTAAGCATGTTAAAAAAAAGTAATTTTTTTCAGTTGAATACAAAGTATGTTAACCGTTGGCGAGGAAGCTAGGGTCGGATTCTTTTTCTAAGGCACTGTATACATGCATAACGTGGGGCCAAAATGTATGCAAACTATGAACAACTTACGATTTTCTAAACGTATCATTTCATCTTCGTCTATAACTTAGATGTAATCCATCAATTATTGGCTGCTATCAAATCCAAATTTAAATTATATACGATGAGCTTTTTCACATTACTTCATTACTCGCAGCTTCAGTTAATCTAAATCAACAATCCATAAAGCACAGTTCCATAAATCACTCCACGGTGCACTTAACGGTAAGTCACATGGTCAGAAACGTGGGAAAAGATTGGGGCTATATTCTTACGCTGTCTTATTGGTTGAATGCATGTAAATGTACAGTATTATATGTATACTTAATTTGCAAAATAACAAATACATGACGCTGTCACTTCTATGACCTTCACAGTGTACCCCCTCCCAACCATATCGTTTTAATGCGTCATAATACATTATTATCATATACCGGTGACAGTCAAGATTTGCTAAATACTTTTCGCCGAATAACACAGCGTAAGAATATAGTCCCAATCTTTTCCCGCGTTTCTGACCACGTGACTTACCGTTAAGCGCACTGCGGAGTGATTTATGGCACTGTGCTGTATGGATGGTTGATTTAGATTAACTGAAGTAATGTGAAAAAGCTCATCGTATATAATTTAAAGTTTGGATTTGATAGCAGCCAATAATTGTTGGACTATAGACGAAGATGAAATGACACTTTTAAAAAATTGTAAGTTGTTCATAGTTTGCATACATTTTGGCCCCACGTAATGCATGTACAGTGCGCTAGAAAAAAATTCTAACCGATAAAGAATGTCGGTAAACATTTTCCTGGGATAACCTAACTCCTTTTGTTGTTAATCAAACCGGCCTGTGCATTATACATGTACACGTTTTCACGGCAGCATTACCATATTACAACTCCTTCAATTTATTATAGACAATATTAGTTCGATCCTAGCTTAAGGTAGGCTCGCCAACTCCTGGCAGGAAGCATGGCAAAATACGATGTATTCTTAGCGAAACACATTGAATTAATAGAGAAACACAGTGAATTCCTAGCGAAACACGGTGGATTACAAGCGAATCTTTGAAAAAATCGCAGCGGAATCAAGCGAATTTTCACGGCGAAATCTAAGAATTTGAAAAAAAAATTTTCGTTGCATTGCCAAGATTTCGGTCCCAAAAATTTGGGAGGAACTGTAAGAAATGAAATGAAATGAAATGTTGTTTAATGGCACGTCAGCTTCAACCGGGCTATATTGCGCCAAACATATGGTGAATCTATCGAGACAAATTAAAACAATATCACATAATTGAATTTATATATGTAAATAAAAACAAATATCACCGAAAATATATTAATTAAAAATAAATATAACAAATCTTTTACATATATAAATATTTAAAACGATATACATGATTAAATATGTTTAAAAATGTTATCATATAGCTCCGGTTGAGCAAATAGCTGACGTAATGACTGGCAACGGTAGTATTTAGATCTAATATACTTGAGATGTTTGCACTCAATCAAGATGTGTTTTACTGTCAAATGAACATGTCAGTGAACACATTGCGGTTGAGGCTCTCGCTTCAAAATAAAAATATGAGTTAAAAAGGTATGACCAATGCGAGAGCGACACAAAACAACTTCATCCCTCCTGTTGGTTCTATAGGAGTTGGGCCAATCTCCTAGGAGAGGCTTAATGTGATGAAGTTTATTTGTGCCTGCAAGATCCCAAGACCGTTGCCAGCGGTCATAAATAAAATAATTTATACATGATTTAAAATCTTTATATGGTATAAAAAGGGTGATTGAGGAAGATCTAAAGCAGCT